AGATGCTCACCAGGCTGACACGGCGGAGACGGCGGCTGAGGGGCTTGTCGAAGATGGGGCTATTGAGGGTCAACTTCTCAAGGTAGCCCTCGGGCAGCCGGATGTCGGCTGGTAAAGATAGGCGCTTGTTGATGTCCTAGCAGGCAAGATGGGGAAGAAACGGGACCATGAGCTCCACCTCCCCAGGTCCAACTCTTTTCCAGCCCCACCACCATCCAGACAGGGGGTTAAGCACCTCAGTGGAGATCTTGCGTGGAGGATGGTTGCGCATGCGCACCCTCACTGGCGACTGCACCTCATCTGAGGACGTGGCTGAAGCCTGGTCACTTTCCCCGTCAGAACCCATCTTCAAGTCCTCGTGTACAATCTCTGGTAGTGGGGACAGGGGGAGGGCAGGCCAGGCAGGGTCAGGAGCCCCAGGACACCCCGTCCCCCACAGAACACATTCCCTCATCACACATGTATGCACAGGGCCCCTGGAGCAGCCTGGAGACCCTCAGGGAGAGGGTGGCAAGGCCCAGAGAGGTTGACAGGTCAGGACAGGTTGAATGGGGGGGGGGAGCAACAGTCACCTAGTGGAGCACCCTGTTCCAGGGGCAAGCTGAGACTGTGGCTGGCCCAGAGCCAGGGGCTAGGCAGCAGCAGAGGTAGTCAAAGGCCCTGGGAAGGCAGGCCTCAGGTAGGCAGGAGCCAGGAGACCTAAGAGGGCCATCGCAGAGCACAGGAGAAGGGCAAAGGGAGGCTTGGGGCAGCTGCAGCAGGCAAGGCACCCTTCCTCCTGCTGAGGCCTGGGCACCAAGCCAAGGAAAGGGGCACAGATGGACAGATAAAGAGACGGTGTTGAGAGAGGATGGCAGGGAAGGGGGAGAAAATGGAGAAAGGAAAATGAAAACAACACAAGTCTAAGAGGAACTCAGCTGGGAGGCAGCACCTGGGGACCAGTCTGGGGGTGGGAGTGGTCAGTGGACCCACCTGGTGCAGAGCTGAGCGGGCACCGTGCAGAGCGAGGTTCCCCAGGGGCGACACGTGTGGGGGCCTCTCCAAGGTCACTGCCACCACCACCGCCACTCTCATCCAGGCCTATCTGTTCCGGGGCACCATTGGTCTTGTCTACACCTCGGCCCCCTCGGAGTGTCATGGACAGCTGCCGTTTGATCTTCTTCATCCGATCCATGGCGACCTGAGCAGGGAGTACGGATGGGAATGGGTCCCATGTTAGCATTTCCCTGACCACCACGGGCCTCCTAAAACCCATGACAACCTAGTAAGGCACATTGATGTGAACTTGTGTCAATGCCCACCCAACCACTGTGGAGCCCTGGAATCACTCAGGATTCCTAGAAGCCTGGCATGGATGAGGACCCTCGCCAGTAACTGCTCACCTATGGCCAGCCCCTGGGTACCCTGTTCCTAAGTAGCCCACCTGGGTACTGAGGCTTGGGTGGCTGGCTGAGGTCAAGGGCCCAACCGGTGGAGTGTTGGCCTCTATGGGGGCAGCCTCACTGTGGGAGCAGAGGGCTCCACAGCAGGCATTCTTGGGTGCAGCGGCAGCGATGGACTCAGCCATGGGTGGAGCGGGGGGCTCGCCCAGGACCGAGGGACCACAGACACGGCCCCGGGCATGCCCATAGAATGGCATGTTCCGCTGGCACCAGCCCCACGTCACCCTCAACTGCCAAGGCAGAATGCTCCCTGCAGCCACAAGGACTCTCCCGCCTCCCCCAGCAACCATCGTCACGGTGACTAGCGGACTACTCCACTGGTCTACCCAGGTGAGGGGTGCAGGGAGGGGGGGTCCTGCCCAGATCCAACCACTGGGTGGGGTTGTGGGGGGATCTCAATGCACAACAGCTGTCCTGAGGGCTGCCAGAAGAGTTCAATCAGGTGGGGACCCATAGGCCACCCAGATTTTTATAAGCCAGGTCACATTTCTCCTCTACTTGAGAATACACATCTCCCTTATCACCCCAAATAAACATCCCAGTCCTCAATGTGGCCCATAAGGTCTTATCCCGTTCACCCCTATTACCTCTCTAGTGTCACCTCCCCCTCGATCATTGCTAGCTGCTGTTCTGCAAGCACACCCAGCAGTCCCACCTCAGGGCCTTTGCACCGGCTATTCCGGGTACTTGGAATACCCTTCCCCCAGATTTCAAAATAGCTCGCTCTCTCACCCCTTTCAGGTCATTGCTCAAAAATCACCTTTTCTATGGATAACCCTCCATGAATAACCCTATTTAAAATCTCAACAATCCTGAGGTCCCTCACCTTGCCAATTTTCCCCCCAGTTCTCATCACCTCCTCAGAAATAACACCATCTACTTATTGGCTTCTTTATTCTTTACTGTCTCCTCACCGCCATAACTAGAAGATCAGCTCCGCCAAGGTAGATTTCTGTTTAGGTCACGGTTATATCCTGAGAACCTGGAACAGTGACTGACACAGAGTAGATGCTCAAAAAGTGCTTATGGCAGAAATTAATGAATCAGGGGGCTGAAGGCCTAGGACTAACCTCTACCAAAGTGAACAGGGTTGAGTCCCTGCTACTCATGAACAACCCCAGACAAGGTGGCCCAGGGACACTAGCATCAGCAGATGACCTAGATGGGGCTGCTAGAGGGAACACGGCCACCAAAAGGCTCAGGCCGGCCTTCTTCTGCTTCCTCCTGGGCTCTGAGCCAGCAAGGAGGGGGAAAGACCTGGCCCAGGAACCATCTGGACTCACAGCAGGGCCTAAGATGGCCCTGGGCCCAAGGGAAGTGGAGCTAGATAGGAGGTCGAGGATGAGGCTGGGGCTGGATTCGCGGAGAGAAGTGGGTCATCTGTTACCTTGAAATCAGATGCTTACCCTAGAGGTCCCCACACCCCCTGCCTGACCTCACCACCCCCAGGAGGGGTAAAGGGCCAGCCTAGCAAGACCTCAGTAAAGAGGATGAGGTCCATCCAGAGAACCCAGGATAACAACAAAATCCTGACCCAGGAGGCTGAACACCGGACCTGAGGCTAAGGTGAAACATGGCCAGCCCCCAAAGACTGTCTTGTGTCCATATGGCACGGATACCCAGTCGCTTTGCCTGTTGTGGCAGGGAATGGGGGATCTAGAGGGGGCTGTAAGTAGGGCTAGATCGAGGATGAGGAGGGTGCCAGAAAGAGCCATGGGTCCATGACCTCTAACTGGAAACCCCAAGGGCTGGACACGTTCCAGAGTTCAGTTTTTTGGGGATTTTAGGAAGATGGAGTACAAAATCTGTGTATCATGCACCACCCCCAGCAGGGGGGCGCTGGGCAGCCCCTGTGAACAGAGACACTTGAACATTAACATGCAGTAAAACTTAAATAGTATCGTTTCACTTTTCTGAGCTTTTTAGATTTCAGAATAGTGAAAGAGGGAGCAAGAAACTGGATACAACTCCACTCAAAAAAGGGCACACATGCTTCCTGACCCCCGAGGACACGTAACCACCCTTAGAATACTCTCACACCCAAGGACACTCACCACCTCACACCACACTCACCACTGAGGCCACAGTCATCCCACTCGACTAACTCCCACAGGAACACACCATCCTCCTCCTGTCCGGACTCCCATAAGCACACACTGGACCCTCACAGTGTTCTGCTTCTTTCAGTACACACTGGGCCCTCAGAAGTCCTCTCTGCATTTGAACTGCTATCAGCACCTGCAATTTCCCTATTTATCTCTAACATCCATCAGCATACAAAGCCCCAGCAGAACACTCAACTCATTAGCATACACTCAGGCCCCTCTAAGTTAACTCTTACCGCCATTTGTGGGCACCTCCCAGGTCCAGCCGCCTGTTAGCTTCTCCACAGCACTCACCCCCCCATCAACACACTGTTCCCCCTACATGATTCTGACCCCTATTAATATGCACTTGGGACCCTCTACAGCTGACCCACATTAGCACTCACTGGACCTTCACACTGCCTTGAATCCCATTAACACAAAGTGAACCTTGAAGATCCCTGACCTGTTTTTTGCCCACACTCAGACCCCTCCACAGCTATAACTATCATTAACATGTATTCTGGTCTCCTCACTACCCTATTCCCGCCCCCACCCCACACCACCTCCCCTCAGCACAAGCTGGACCTTCACTTCACCCTGACCTCTATTATCACACACTGGGCCTCACACAGTGCCTTCCCATTAGCACACCCTGAACCCTTACTCAGCCCTATTCCCCGGGGACACACAAACACACTGTTCTATAATGGCCTGACCCTCATTAGCGAACAAAGGTCTTGATTCAGCCCAGACTCCCCTTAGCACACACGTGAGCCCTCCATGGCTCTAATCCACCTGAGCACACCTAGACCTTCACATATTCCTGTCTTTCATTTCTCTTTGCTTCAACTCCTCCACAGCTATAACCCCCGTTGGTTCACACTTGGACCCCTTCCCAGCCCTGATCCTCCTTATTGCACACTAGATTCCCTCCACAGCTCTACCCATTAACACTCCCTGGAACCTCAACACACCCCAGTCCCCCATAGACACAAGCACACACACCCGTCTTCACTATGTTCTGACGCTCATTAGCATATTCCAGGTCTCATACTGCTGACTCTCCTCCCATTGGCACACACTTAAGCGCCTCCATGGCTCTAAACCAACATTAGCAGTCACTAGAACTTCATATATCACCCCACCCCTTCTTGGCGCGTTCTAGAATCTCACATCCTCTGTCCTCATGGACACACACACACACTGATCTCATACCATCTTGATCCTTAATACATTGAACCTCTTATAGTGCAAAGACACTTCTCTTCCATTGCCCCGTCCCCCAATATATCCACAACTCTGATATCCATCAGCACAGGCTCAGGCCTTCCACCACTGTCCTCATTAGCATATACTGGGCCTCATACTACCCAGACCTTTATTACCAAATGCGCCTACCCTCTACAACTATGACCCCTCATTAGCACATTCTCAACACATGAGTTCTTCCACTATCCTGCCCTTCGTGAACACACTCTGGACCCTCACACGCTGCAGTACCTCATGGACAAATACACAGTATTAACACCATCCTGACCCTCATTATCACACACAGGGCCTCAGAGTTCTGATCCTAGTAGCACACCTTCTGGTACCTCTACCACCCTATCCCCCATTAACACACACAGGGCCTCTCTACAGCTATAACTCCATTTGCATATCTCAGCACTCCTCTGACATCCTCTCCCTCGGGTCCCTCCACCGCCCTGCACTGCACCCCCACTAGCACACACTGGGCCTCAAACCTCACACAGCGGTAAGACTTATTACCACATGCTCCGACCCCCATTAGCAAACCTGGAGTCTTTTACCACTGTGCCACCCATTTTCACACCCTCTTGTCCTTCGATCACCCTGCTCCCCATGAGCTCCCACGGTACTGCCCATCCCCAGCTCCCAGACCGGGCCCAGGGCGGGGCCAAGGTCAGGGAGGCCCCGAATGACCCCCCGCCCCAGTGCATTCTGGGAAATTCGCTGGAGGAAGGGGCACATGCCAGCGGTGCAGCCCAGAGCCCTGGGCACCGCCCGGTGTCTGAGTTGTTTCTGTAAGAGGAAAGGCAGCCCCCACCCCACGTCTCGGGGACGCGCTCACCGGCGGGGGCGCGCGAGCAACCTCAGCGCCGCGAGACCGGCGCGGCGGCGCCTGGGGCGGCGGCCTGGGTTGAGGCCGCGCGACCTCCTTCTCCTCCTGTTCGCCGCAGGCGCCCGTCCCAGTAGTCTTCGGCCATGGCTGCTGGGCCCGGGCCGCCGCCGGCTGAGGAGGAGGAGGCGGCGGCGGCGGCGGCGGTGGCTGAGGCGGAGGCGGCGTCCCGCTCAGCCGGCCATGAGCTTGGCCGCTGCGGTCGATGCCCCCGGGCTCGCTGGCGCCGGCTCGAATCCGAGAGCTCACGGCGGCTCGCGGCTCAGAGCCGACTGCTCGCGGAGACGCGGCGGATCCCAGGGCCGAACAGCCAACAGCCCAACCGCCGCGCGCGTCGCGCTCCACGCATGCGCACGCACACGCTGGACAGGGTGAAGTGGGAAGGAGGGGACTCACCTCGGACTGCATGTACCAAAAGACCCGGCCGCAGCGGGAGGGGGCGCGGCCATTGCGCGCACACCCGGGAATGTGGCGCTGGCCCTGGAACGGCACCAGGGGGGAGTGTAGAGGTTATTTACTACTCAGTTTCGATCTTGCTAGAAGTTTGCTAGCGCCGAATTGGGCAGCAGCCGGGAACCAGCGTGCCAGTCACCACTCGCTCCCCCTACTAGGTCTCAATTGGTACATCCCCATGGTGGCAAACGGGACTTTTGCAAGGAGGAAAAAGACAGATGAGGCAGTCAGTCCCAGTCTCCTGAGGTGCCTCGGGAGGCAGGAATTGTAAAGGTTCGCGAGAAGATGACTTTTCTAGGAGAGGTGGCCTGGAGAATCATTGGCCTTTACCACCTTAGATAGGACAGAATCTAGCCCCGCCCAGCTGCCTCTCCCCCGCCCCCGCCGCTAGCTGGTTCCCACTGTGAACGTGTGCGGCCCCGCCCTTTGAGGTTGTCGCCCAGCCAATCGGATTTGCACCCTGGGTGAGGCAGAGCAAGAATGAAGGGCGTGGCTGGGCTGAAGAGGCGTGACTTCGCTGCCCCCTACCACGCCTCTGCCGGGTTTTCATGGGTTTTCACCGTCGTGGGGGACGGGCCCTCCTTTTTGTTCTGAGCTCCTCTGTCGCTATAGGCCAAATATCCCGCAAGATGATTGGTCAAAAGAACGTTCAATCGACTTTCGTCCCGCCTTTAACCCCCTCCCATCTCCCTCAGCGAGGCTCACGGGGCAGAGCCTAGGCTGAGAAGAGAGGAAAGGCGGACCTTTAAAGGGGCGAGTGCATTACTGCGCATGCTTGGGACTTTGGGTTGGGAGGGTGGCTTTTCTCCGCCTCACGCGAGCGTTTGCGTAAGCACCCTGAATTGGGTTTTCCTGCCACTTCTCAACTACCTTTCCTTGCCCGCCAGAGCCCCGCCCGTGGCTCCCCCGACCCTGCGGTTTTCTATTTTATTTATTGGGCGCCTGTTGTGTGTCAACACTGCCAGGCAGACCTAATCCTTCACCCCTCTCTGCTTACACCAAGCCCACTTCAAATGGCGGCAGCATTCGGGGGCATCTTTACACGGCACCCCAGTCCAAAGCCAGCTTCCCCGCCTCTTCTGGGCTTCCCTTTATAGAGGCCTTGGTCACACCAGAGTTTTCAGTACGATTCATACTAGCGAGGATTTACCGGAGCATGATGGGAATGGAAATATTTGACAAAGAAAAGTCCACCGCGGGCTAGATGATCAGGTCCATCACTTCTCTGATCTTATCTCCTACCCTTCCTCCTCTCACTCCACTCCAGTCTCCTAGCTGTTCCTGAATAAAGCAGGCACAGTCCAGCCTCAGGGAGTTTGCACTTGCTGTTCCCTTTGCCTAGAATGCTTTCTCCCAGATATCCACATGCCTGATCCCCTCACTACTTCCAAGTCCTTGCTTCAGTGTCACCTTATTCGTGAAGCCTTCCCTGATTACCCTATTTTAAAATGACTGCCTGCACCCCTATCATTCCAGATCCCCAGACCTGGCTCTATAGACCTTTCCAATAGCACCGATCAACTTCTAACATAGAATTTATTGTGTTTACTGTCTATTCTGGGTCTCACCCTAGCAGAACATAAGGCCCCCCTCCCCCAAAAAAAGACAGGGATCTTTTTTATCCATTGCTGTCTCCAATGCCTAAAACAGTGCCTGGCACAGACTAAGCACTCAACAAATGTTTGTTGAATGCCTGATGGCAAATAGTTCTAGGCAGAGATAAGAGAAGACAGCATTGTCCCACCCTGTCCTTTGTGCATGCTGGGCACAGGGGGCTCAGTGCAGTGACCCAACCCCTGCCCACTGAGCCCTGGTCTCCTATCTTGCTGGTATTATAATGGTAGACAAACATGACAGAAGTAAAGCAGCATGTGTGGTGGAACTAAGATGCAACCAGGTTTCTTGGGTTCTTGATGAAGGGTGTCAGGTGTCAAAAAGGTAGCAAGGGGATCCAGGAGCTGTGGTGGTGAAGAAAGGGACAGAAGTGTCTGGAGAATTAGGAGCTGTAATGGGGAGATACAGCAACAAGGTGTCTCGAGTACCCATGAAGGAGCTGGGATAGTGGAGAAAGGGGCAGAGGAACAAAGTTTGTGTGCAAGCCTCAAATGCTGTAACCGTGGAAGACAGTGGACAGAGGTGGGAGCACCTGGGGTACTCTAGAGCAGCAATAATGGAAAAAGTGCCTGTGGTGGGAAAACCTCTCCACTTGACCTAGACAGCTAGCATCACCACTAAATACATGCCAGAGGTAAAGCACTTCAGTCCCAATGTCCTGGTAGGGAATCAAAAGGATGGAAGGATGAGGTGAGCCAGACAGAGTAGGCCAAGAAAAAAAAGAGTCATGAAAGGGAGGTGGGCAAGAGCGTACACTGTGCCTGGGCTCTGGAGCTGGCCCAGGAGACAGCAGATGTGGAGATAGGCTGTGATGGGTGTCAGGCCAGGGTCAGGGACAGGTTGTGCTGTTCCCAATACCCAGGTTTGAGTGAAGGAATGAGGGGTCTAAGTGGGAGAGAGAAGTTGGACTCTGGCTGGGTGAGGGACAGAGGTATGAGTGTCATTCTCAGGCACCATGTGGCCAGTCAGATTGGTGCTTTCAACTGTCTGGAGTGCTCAGCCAAGACCAAGGATGGAGCATGGGCAGCTCTGCAGTCCTAGTGGGGCCTGTTGTGAGCCTCTTGCTCTAACCAGTCAACAACCCACAGCCCCCACAGCCGGCTCTCTTCTCAAAGGTAGGAGGCCTCAGGAAAGGCAGACCAGGCCTGAGGGGGACAGGGTGAGGCTGGGAAAGAGGCTTTTCTTCTACAGATGTTCTCATCCAAATTTTTCACAAAAACTGCGAAGTATATGCACAGGCACTGGCATTCCTCTTTCCAGCAGAGCCGTTTAGGCCCCCCTGCAGCAGAGAAGTTGAACTAAGGGCACCACAGGCATTCCTGGCGCTGGGAACCATGATGGTAAAGGCTTGTCCAGGGTCTGAGTGCTTTGAGCCAGGTAGGAAGGGATCTGCACCAAGGACATAAGCCACGTTGACCAAGCCCTGACTGACTGGTCGCCATAACTTTCCTCTTCACAGAGGGGGAACAAGGTTAGAGAAGTTAAAGGACTTGCTCAAACACTACTCTTTACTACCTCTCAAAATCAATATGGAAGGGAGTTAGGAGGTGGAGATGGAGAAGGTGGAATTTGGACCCAGTTCAAAGAAAGAAAGTCACATGGACCCAGGTACCTGCTCTCTACGGCCTCACTGGTGCCTCCATTTCTTCCTAAGCACGGAGGGCAGGAGGAAGAGGTGGCAATTTCCACATTTTCTCTGCCCAGGAAACTGGCAGCTAGGGTGGGGCTGAGCCCTTTGGGTTACCACCTGAACTAGACAGCTCCAGAAAGTCCCTTCCTTCCCTGGAACCAGCAGGGCATGCCACGTCTGGGTTAATAATTCTTTATTAGGATTCAGGCTCCAAACAAGGTAGAAAGCAGTGGCCAGAGGAGTTCAGGTAGGGGATGAGGAGGGAACACCAGGCTTGGCTAGCTGGGCCACTGCCAGAGGCCAAATGGGAGCCCTGGGCTAGAAGGGGTCTGGAGTGGGGAGGGGGGGCTGGGGCCAGTCTACAGGAGTGGATGGTGGTCAGCGGATGGTGTATCGTACATAG